AGACATGATAGGCTGATTGTTTAATAGGAGGATGGACCCCTGTGTCCACTTTGTGGGCAGCGAGGTATGTTCTCCCAGGCTTCCCAGTAAACCTACTCCCATGTACTGCTAGCACTCTCTCCAGCCCAGGTGCCTGAGTGGGGGTAAGGAGGGGGTTGATCAGGAGGGCTGCATCCTCTTCTCTAGTGTCAGCGAGTAGGTCTAGGAGGGGGTCAGCCTCCTTGGACTCCTGTTGGCTGCAGACTGGTATGACATAGGCCGTATGTTCATGGTGGGCTTTGATCATATTAACATGGAAGGCCTTCTGCCGTCTGCTCCCTTCCCCCAACCTGACCAGATAGGTCACATTGTTCTGGCTCTGGGTGATGGTGTACGGGCCTTCCCAGGCAGCCTGCAGTTTGTTCTGCCGCAAGGGGAGCAGAACATACACCTGCTGCCCAACGTTGTATGTCCGCTCCCTGGCATTACAGTCATACCAACGCTTCTGCCTGGTCTGGGCCATATTTTCCCGTACCATCCCTACCAGCGTCTCCATTTTATCCCTGAACTTGAGCACGTTATCCAGCACAGAGACCTCAGGGTCAACACTTTTGCCCTCCCAGGTCTCACGGATTAGGTCCAGAGGCCCTCTCACCCTCCGCCCGCATAGAAGTTCAAAGGGCGAAAACCCCGGTGGACTCCTGAGGCACCTCTCTGTAAGCGAATAGCAGATGAGGCAGGTATCGTTCCCAGTCCTTCCCCTGGGACTCCAGGTGTGCAACATCTGTTTCAAGGTGCCTTTGAAACGTTCGCACAAGCCATTTGTCTGTGGATGGTAAGGACTGGCCATGATGTGCATCATCTGTATCTTCTGACAGAGAGCTTGCATCAGGTCTGACACAAACTGGGGCACTTGATCACTAATGAGCTCGGCCGGAAACCCCACTCTGGTGAAGATCCTCAACCTTAAAATTTAAATCAGAAAAAACCACAGCGACCAGGACCAATCTATTGACAAACAGTTATAAGTGAAATGCTGCTGTGCATAGGTATATAAACCAAAACAAATATTCCAATATAAACCAGCGCAAAACACAATTAATAAATAATAAATAAATATAAAATAATTTTCAAAGTCCAGTGATGAAAATAAGTGACCACAATACCGTGACACAAAAATCTAAAAAAAATATATATATAAAAGTCCAGTGATCTAAAAAAAACTTTCTTAAAAAATATAATAAACTTCAGTGCTTCAAATAATTCTTCCACCATCCACCAGTGCCAAAAACCAACATAAACCACACTCACCAGATATTGGTGAGTAAAACACCTTTCAGGATTATTTAGGGCTCCTGGACCCCCTTTGAGGACTCCTCTATTTTCCACCTCAAACCTATGGGTGATTCTTCAATCGTCTCCTCGCCACACCACCAAGTTCCAAAAGGGAGAAAAAAAAAAATACTAATAGTGTGATACTGTTATGCCCCTTTTATAATTAATTCATGCCAAACCACTCACATTTCAAAGGATAAAAACCAGCATTTATTTAAGGACATCATACGAATTTTCGAGCAACAAATACGAATTTCCACAGCTCCTAGGAACTCACAGCCTTGTATACAGCAGGAGGACAGCCTCCATAACAAACGAACTTTCTTGCGAACTTTCTTACGAACTTTCTTTGCTCGTCAAAAAAAAGACCGCCTGGAACACATCCCTCGGCGTGCGTTCCACTCACCGGAAATGACGTTCGACCACTGTCAGGATATAACGTTTGCATGAGCTGCTATGGATGGCTAGAGGCCCCACGATGTCTACTGCCACCCTCTTAAAAGGTTCGTCAATCACAGGCAAAGGTTGTAATCTCCTGCCTTGCCCACTCGCTGGCAGGTTACACAGGACCGACAGTAATCCGCTATGTCCGTGAGCATAGTGGGCCAGAAGAATTTATGAACCAAACGGGCTCTTGTCTTAGTGATCCCTAGGTGCCCTGCCAGAGGAATTTCATGAGCTACCTTCAGCAGCTGTCCCCTAAAGGGATGAGGCATGACAAGCTGTCTTCTACCAATGTCAGCCCCCCTCCCCTCAGTGGGCAAGCCCTCCCTATACAGCCTTCTCTGTTCCCAGTAAATCTTTTGTTTGTCCTTCTCTGCAGGGGGGCGATTAGCCAGACTTTAGAGCTGCTCTAGAGTCTGGACTGTCTGCAGTGCGGCCTCAAAGGTGGAACTACAGGTCCCAGCCAGCGGTCCTGTAGCAAACACTGCCAGCTGTTGAGACTCACTGGAGGCAGAGTCCACTGGGTCAGAACAAGGGGAGGGGTCAGGGACATCCTCCTGCTGTTCTGAGGCCAGAGCCCGTGCCTCAGCCGCCCTTGCCGCACTGCGGGTGACCACTAATGTTAGTGAGGCCCCAGTAGTATCATCATAACCATCATCATCATCACTTGCATTACCCACATTATCATCAACCTTACTGACATTATCAACATCAGCATCATTGTCATCATAATTATCAACAGTTGCGCTTCTACTGTCAATGACACATGAGTTCGTTATCTCCCCAGGTAAGGGGATTTCTTCTCGTTCTCCAGCTAATGGAGAATCTTGCCACCCCACTCCCTTCCCAGCCCCCTCCCTCTGTCCATCCACAGGCTGCCCAGATATTACCCCAACATCTGCACACAGTACCTTGGTAGGTCCCGAGAGTTCCAGGGGGCATCCGGAGAGTCCTTAACAGGGGCATAATAAGAGATAAGGGTGCCCAGATCAGCCCCAATAGGACAGCTGTGGGGATTTCATCTGAGACTCCCACCTCGTTATCCCCATCCCTGCACCCCAATCGATGAACACATAGGCACGGGGTATGCGGGAACGGGTTCCACCCACTCCAGTGAGGGTCAGGAACTTCTCTGGGATGATGTCCTTGTCCTCTATCACCTCTGGTCGGACTAAGGTGACTTCAGCTTCTTTGTCATGGAAACCGGTTGCCGACTATGACTGGCTGTAGGTTGGTGCTGGGTCCCCGAGGTTTACCACTGACCAACAGCACGGAGGAAGAGTTGCGGGCCAGTTGGCCCGATGATGTCATCTTCTTCTGCTCAGGACACTGCATCCTGAGTTGTCCGGCTTTCCCACAGGTGAAACATCTGCGGTTGTCAGTCAGGAATGGCTTGGCCCCAGGGGCTGCAAGTGTGGGGAGGGGAAGCTTGACTCACCGACATAGGAGAGCTGCTATGGGCGATTTCCCCCCTTTCCAGCCGTTCGGAGGAGCCTTGCGAGGGTCAGACACCCACGTATGAACTTAGGTATCAGCCAAATCGGCTGCAGCTTTAGTAGATGCTGGCTCTCTCTCCAAGACAAACTGTCTGATGTCGGCCGGGCAGATGTGTAGGAGTTGGTCTCGGATTATGAGATCTTCTAAAGACTCGTAGGAGTCAGCTTTCAGTCCCTTAGTCCACTGTCGGAATGTGGTGCATAAGCGACTCGCCACATCCGTGTAAGAGTCCCCAGGTCCCTTTTGCATGGACCTGAACCGATTGCGGTAGACTTCAGCTGTCATCTGGTACTTCCGGACAATGGCATCTTTTAAAACTTCGTAATCATCGTCTTGCCCCTCTGGCAATTCAACAAATGCATCCAGGGCCTTCCCTTGTAGCCCTGGTGTCAGGTACCAAGCCCATTGAGTTGGGGGCACATGGTACTGCTGGCACGTTTCTTCAAATGACAGTAAGTACGTGTCAATGTCACTATCTTTTTCCATCACTGGAAATTTGGCTGCGCCCATGGCCAGAGAGGCGTCCCTGTGCTCTAGGGACCCGAGATTCTGGCTCTGTCGTGGCTGGAGCCTCGCCATCTCCAGTTCGTGCCGACGATCAGCTTCCCTTGGCGTTCCTCTCTGTCAGCCTGGCGTTTCGCAGTTTCTCTGTCAGCCTGATGTTCAAGGAACCACAGGTATGTCTCAAGATCTGTCTCCATGAGGCTTCCTGCATCTGAGGAGAGTCTCTGCTGGTTACAGGCACTCCGGTGCTGGCCCGTGTGTGGTGTGACGATACCATTCGGTGATCTTCCAGTGTCAGTCTCTGTATGCCCATCCTGCGAGGCCGTCTCTGAGCCACTGGGAATGTGGGTAGCGGGAACCCCTTCATGTTCAAGTTCCCCCGAGTTCTGATCTGCTCGGATATCATACTCCACTAGATCACTAATCAAATCTTCACAATTTTTGCAACCGACGTTCAATTCTCGTGAGGTACATTCTGCCTTCAAATCACCTTTGCTCATTTTCTCGTATCCTGTTGCACCAGGCATGATTGCAAGCAAAGATAGAATAGAAAGTAGGAAAAGGAAGGAGCTGTTGCTATCTCTCTCTCTCTCTCTCTCTCTCTCTGTATATATATAAAATATGCACCGCTTGTTTCTAAGGACTGTTTCCACAAAGGTTACAATCCTTCAGTGCAGAGCCAATTTTTAAAACTGCACTGAAGCTCTTAACCACTGTCCGGATACTTTTCAGCTTTCAGCGCTATCACACTTTGAATGACAATTGCACGGTCATGCAATACTGTACCCATATGATTTTTTTACCATTTTTTTGAGACAGATAAAGCTTTATTTTGGTGGTGTTTATTCGCCGCTGGGATTTTTATTTTTTTTACTATGTAAATGTAAAATTTTGCAAATAAATAATATTTCATCATAAATCTTGGCCATAATGTATTCCGTTATTTTTTTAGTAAAAAAAAAAAATCCAAATTAGTTTATAATCAAAAATTATAATTTTTAAACATTTTTTTTTTACATTTTTATTTTATTTTTTTATATTATTATTTTTTTTTTTTTTTTTACATACTGTCACCCTAGCAGTACAGTGTCACCATGGTGACACTGTACTACTTGTGGGGGGTGATGAAGATTTTTTTTTTTTTTTTTTTACACTGATTGCTTTTACACCCATATAGGATGTAAAAGCAATCATTTCTCTTTCTCTCTGTCTGCATTCTTGCAGTCATTGAGAAGAATTGAGTGAGCTGTGATTGGTCACAGCTTGTCACATGGTACAAGGCTGTTGTGAATAGCCTTGTACCATGTGACCTCTGTGATCATTCACAGAAGTCACACGTAGTAAGCAATGATGTCACAAGTGACATCTTGCTTACTACTTTGCATGTGATCACTGATTCGCCAATCAGTGATCAAATGATCGGGACCTCGTACAGAGGTCCCGTCCAATGATCGGTGTTTCACTGTGTCCCAGGGAGCGCGCACAGCTAGAAAAGGCGGGTGCCGTTTATGAACGGCAACCCGCCCCTGGACTGCCACCGCCCTGCCGTTTATAAACAGCAGGCGGACGGCAAGAGGTTAATGCAACTATCCCACGTACGCTGCCAGCCAATATTTCACGATCGCAAGATCGCTGCCACCAACCTGCGACGATCCCACGATCGGATCGCGGTGCTGCGCGCTCCCAGGGAGCGCGCACAGCTAGAAAAGGCGGGTGCCATTTATGAACGGCAACCCGCCCCTGGACTGCCACCGCCCTGCCGTTTATAAACAGCAGGCGGACGGCAAGAGGTTAATGCAACTATCCCACATACGCTGCCAGCCAATATTTCACGATCGCAAGATCGCTGCCACCAACCTGCGACGATCCCACGATCGTGACGTCCAATATGTGACGAACGCGGCGTCAGACCCCAGCACTTCTCACCAAACTCGTGACCGAAGGACTAGCCAATCTAAAAACCGCGATGTCACGTGCGTAACAATGCCACACCCAGCTGCACCCTGCACAATTTTTCAGCTAATGGACCACAATCAATGTATCGGCAGCCTGAGCGATTGTTACTGGGTCAGGTTAATTACACAATTAACCCTTCACACTGCCACCACCTCCTTTTTGTACAGAGAAAGAGGAAACTCGGCAATTTCAGCATTAACACTATAATGGTTGAGGTAATCGTCTGCATAACAGGGTGTGGCAGTGTGGTATCCTGCCGCGATGGAAATCACGATGGAGACCCAGGATTCTCAACCATACAGGTTGAGGGGCTCCAGGCAGTTCTCATAATGCAGAGGAAACTGGTTTATAAGTTTCCTCTTTGGTTTGTAAAGCCTGTTTTGGGACTTGTAGCCTGGAGATTTCTAAGAGCTTTGGGAGGGATGAAATCTCCAATCCTGGGCCCATGTTTTGAGAGCAGCCAGTGTGCTGATTGCACAGGTGTGTGCAGGCCTTTTTGTGGAGGCCAGGCCATGATTCTGGGCTCCACCTTGGCAGACAGGAGGTCTCTGCCTTGGAGTCAGGTGGGCTTCACCAAGGAGAGGTGGAAGCCAGAATAGCTGTGTGCTAGAGGTTTGCTGTGTGCAAAAACAACCTTGTGGAAGGAGTCTGTAGGAGACAGATATAAAGCGGTATAGCTGAAAGCCAGAAGGTGAATTGGTTTGATGGTGGATACCCCTGCGTGGGAAGCATTTGTGTTTATGGAACCTTTTCTTTTAAATAAAATTGGGCAAAAGGCCCTTTAAAGAAGCGAGTTGCTGTGTGCTTTAACAAGAAAAGCTCTACCATTTTGAAGCGAGTTCCCACATATGGTGGCGGATGCAGTGGGCAGAATTGGAGATCCCTGCAAAAGAAGTAAGTTCATCAGTTATATGAACTGTATTTATGTGCAATGGACAGCACTATCTGTGTGTGCAGGTGAGAAGAACCTGTTAGAGAAAAGGAACTTGCCTTAAAGGGACAGTGCTTCATTTCTTGGTTGCTGGACTGTGCAAACGTTTTGTGAAGTGACTGTGAAGATGCGGCGCTCAAAGCAAAGAAAAGAAGCAAGATTTGCGGAAATGAGAGACCGAGCCCAGTGGCTGGAGGGGTTGTTATCACCAGAACAAGCCCCATACATGGCTGAACAGAGGTTGCCACAGTGGGAAACTGCTGCTCTTGCCCCTGGCAACACTGGTGAAAGGAGACCAGCTATGAATGTGCAGAGTCCTAAGCTGGAAACAGGCTGCAATGTGGGGAGCCTGGACAAAACACGCTGGCAAGAGCGATGCTTGTGGGGCAGGGAGTGGGGGCACACTGTCTCCAAATGCCCTTTGTCTCAGCCTCCATTGCAAAGTTGCAAAGCAAAGGACTGTGTTTGGCAAGCCGTCTCTGAGTGCAAGGAATGAGCGACAGGCTGACCACAAGTTTGAGAGGAGTGTGGTTGCTCATAGCAATAGCTGCAATGTAAAGTCTATGGTGAGAGGTGCTGAGTTCTGGGCCTCTGATTACATGCAACCCATGCTACCTACATAGCCAATTGCCTTTTGAGAGTGAGTCTACTGTTACCCCTAGCAACAGGGATCTTGTGTTACCTGCAGGGGGTGTAAGTTGGTCCGGAATGGCTGCAGTGTTGCCCCGTGACCACATGAGGAAGTCAGCCTGTGGAGAAACCACAGAGGAGAGACTACGCACTCAAGTGAAGACTATGACACCTGCTTCAGGAAATGGTAAGACTGTTTCAGTTTGTGGGACTGAGTCCAAGGAAGTGAGAGTGTGTCCTTCAGGGAGTTCCACAATACAGATGGACATGGACTGGCTGCTGTGTGCTACCCTGAGTAGTGGGGAGGCACAGGGAACAGCCCAACGATTAGCAGAACTAAATATGGAACAGGGCATGGGGACTCTGCAGGTGCCTACTATAATCCAGCAGATGGCTGGGGAAGTTAGACTAGGGGTGACCAAAACTGTCCTGGCACAGTGTTCCCTAGTGATAGGTGCTGCAGAGATGCCCAGGGAAACCTCTCAGGAGCCCGCAGTGACAGAGCAAAGGATTTCCCAGGTCAGCTATGGAGCTGCTAAAACTGAAAATGGTGCTACTTTAGAGAGAGAGAGAGAGTGCTGTGAGGCATGGCTCACAGGCTGCTAAGCTGGGTAATGGCCAGGGACTACCCGCAAAAGCCGCAGTCATGTCTATATGCAATGAGAATGCTGATGGTCATGCCGACAAAAGTGTTACTGTTGGTAAATGCAATGTTATGGTTGGTGATGGGCTAGCACAGCTCACTAAAGATAACAGTGTTGATGTGAATATGAGTAAAGATATGTTGTTGGCCTTGGCAACAGTATCCAGGGCTGCAAAGGTGTCCATGGAAACCTCCTGGGAGCTCTGTGTGTTGGAGCCAGAGGTTGCCTGGGAAAACTATGGTGCTGCTCTGGACAAGAGTACTTGAATCTAGTGATAAGTTAAATGCTAAAACTGAAATATTTGAAAATGCTCATGGTGATAATGGGTTAACTGAGTCTGTCAGTACTGACAATATGTATGGAAGTGTTCCTGAGTTGAATGAAGCGCCATCAGAGTACGGTGGTGAGGGTGTGGTATTGCAACCTGTTGAGGTTAAAAATTTAGTGCCACAGTTTAGTTTGAACAAAAGTGATATATGTGATGTGTCTGCTGAGCCACTCTGTCCTGTGTCTCCTCCGGCAGTTGGTGCAGTACTGCGTAGTACCTGCTGATTGGAGCGCAGAGAAAGTAGACTGGGACAGATGGGCTGAAAACCTGTTGGCTTTGTTGAATGGGACCTCTGCTTCCAACAGTGGAGTGGACACGACTTCTGCTGTGCTAAATGGAGGGACTGCAGAGCAGCTTATAGACAAGGGCGCACTTGCTGTTGCGGCAGATGGTCTCCCTCCCAAAATGGAAGGGCCAAGTGAGATTGAGCACATAGCAGAGATCGTGCCCACAAACCACAGAGGATCCAATGGTGTGGGAATGAATAGTGTGATACCAAATGAGCTGGTGTTGGTGGAAGTGTCGGATGGCACAAATCAAGTGATTGGGGTCAGTAAACCATGTGGAATTATGTTATGATGGTCAGGTGTCAGGACAGTTGCTGGAAGAGGTTCATGTGCCAGTGGAGCTGGTGAATAGTGATGTTGCCATGGGAGACAACCACTCCACTGTGTGCGCTTGGTCTCTAGATACTGCCCTGCCATACATTGAAATGAATTCTGTCAAAGGTGTGGATGTTTCTGACCATGAGGAAAAATGCAAGGCCCTTGTAAATTTTGATATTTATGATGATGAGGAAAAGTGTGAGGCACTGGTAAATGTTGTAAAATATGAGAAAAAGTGCAAGGCACTGGTAAATGTTGCTAAATATGATGAGGGGAAAGTGCGAGGCACTAGTAAATGTTGATCATTTAGTTTCTGTGGGTGACCATATGCCCAATGATGGACCTGATGGTCATGTGGACCTGCGTGCTGATAACCCTGAAACATATGATGTGGTAGACACAGCTGAGGTAAAAGCTGCAGTAGAATTAGGCCCCCTACAGAGTCAGGAGGGTAGTCTGGGAAGGGAAACTTTAAAATGGCTTATCTCTCCCGAGGGAAAACTTGAAGGAAGTGGATTATTTAAAGAGGTCCCCTGACATAAAAACATCTGAAGGGCAAGACAACCGGTCTGTCCTTCAGAAAGAGAGTAGGACATTGCTGTCGTCTGAGAATGTCGGGGACAAAAGGAAGCATGCAGTGTACGGGTGGAAACAAGCAGAGCTAAGTTTGGTCAGTAAGAGGATGCATGTACATAGAATGCAGAGAGGGTCTAAGGTAACCTCAATAAAAGAGCCCACGCTTTTTGTGCTTAAAAGCGTGACCCCTTCAAAGGGAAAGGGAAACTGGCTATTGAAAGTGCAGCGTAGCTTTAACGTTATCCGACTCCTAAAACTCAGGCGTCAACCTCATTCTCAGAAAAGTACCACGTTTTGGAAATTCCTTAATGGGAAGGTGACTTGGGTGGCCCCAAGGAACATAGAGAGGCAATGCTTTTGGAAGCGAACCCGTAAAAAGGCACAGTGTCTTTATAGTGGCCACATCCATGTAGTAGGAGAACACAGGGAAAGTCGCCTCGTAAGACAGGAAGGAAAGTTTCCCTTTGAAAGTGATGTCAGTCAGGAATGGGCTCATATGGGTGACAGCTGGCACAGAGGTGCCAAATTTAAGAGTTTTTGGGCTTGTGTGTTCTGCCCCCTAAGGGATCAAAACAAAGGGGGGGATATGTGGCAGTGCGGTATCCTGTCACGGTGGAAATCACGATGGAGACCCAGGATTCTCAACCATACAGGTTGAGGGGCTCCAGGCAGTTCTCATAATGCAGAGGAAACTGGTTTATAAGTTTCCTCTGGTTTGTAAAGCCTGTTTTGGGACCTGTAGCCTGGAGATTTCTAAGAGATTTGGGAGGGATGAAATCTCCAATCCTGGGCCCATGTTTTGAGAGCAGCCAGCGCGCTGATTGCACAGGTGTGTGCAGGCCTCTTTGTGGAGGCCAGGCCATGATTCTGGGCTCCACCTTGGCAGACAGGAGTCAGGAGGGCTCCACCCTGGCAAACAGGAGGTCTCTGCCTTGGAGTCAGGTGGGCTTCACCAAGGAGAGGTGGAAGCCAGAATAGCTGTGTGCTAGAGGTTTGCTGTGTGCAAAAACAACCTTGTGGAAGGAGTCTGTAGGAGACAGATATAAAGCAGTATAGCTGAAAGAGCCAGAAGGCTGAATTGGTTTGATGGTGGATACCCCTGCGTGGGAAGCATTTGTGTATATGGAACCTTTTCTTTTAAATAAAATTGGGCAAAAGGCCCTTAAAGAAGCGAGTTGCTGTGTGCTTTAACAAGAAAAGCTCTATCATTTTGAAGCGAGTTCCCACAACGGTTATACAGAGGGTGAAACAAACACAGTAGTGTTCTCTTTAGAGGCAGGAATTCGTAAATTGCAATAAAGCTCTATAGAAACCATTCAACAATTTCAGAAGGTAAGATTTATTACTAAAAGGTCAAACTGGTGCAATAAAAAATATTTACAGAAAAAAGATGTAACTGAGATATATATATATATATATATATATATATACACAGAGACTAACAGCACAGCAAAGAGATATCAGAGAAGTGAAAGGGTTAAGGTACTTGCCAAAGTCCTGGGTTAGCAGATCCAAGTTTCAGAGCAAAAGGGCACAGGTCTCCCCAGATGGTATTGATGTTAAAATGGGAGACGTCTTCAACTTCCCACTCTTAGGCCTGATAGCCTGTTTTGTAGTCCCCAGCAGGGGGTGGCTCTGAAGTCAAGGACCAATCTCCGCTTAGGGCGTGGAGATATGGGTGGATGCCTCAACTAGAGCAAAAATCTCCCATAACTCATATTTTGGCCTATAACTTTCCATCTGCACAAGTGACATTCCACACCCGCGGGTAGATTATTATGCAGACAAGTCTGAGGATTTGATTAGATATGAATTATGAAAGTGTACACTGAACGGTTCACGAGATCTATTTTTCTGCTTTCCTGTGTGTCCGAGACAAGGCGAGTGACCCATCAAACTGTTCGCCTGCTCATCGTCCATCTGAAGATTTGTCCGGATTGTATGTAAGTCTTTTATATTCCAAGATATGAGACATAGGGGAGAAATGGATTTTGAGAAGTGTTATCTGATTCTGTCACCTATGCTGAGTTAGGTTTATTAAGTCAGAATCTCTTTCAACTCTTGGGAAAGCTTGGCTTATTTCTTCCGAGGTGTGAAATGGCACAGGTTCTCCAAAAGCTAGGCCCCGGCTCCCTGGGGGGGGGGCTTTATAGCTCCTATGACCCTCCTGTGACATTTTTTAACACACACACACTGTCACTGTGACTCTCAGAGTGAGGGGAGAGGGAGAATGAGGGGAAAAAATGGAGATTCTTAACAAAATGGCGGACTGCGTCAGTCTCTGGTGCGCACATTTGCGACAGGTCCTGCAGACACTGCATAATTTGTTCTTGATAGGACTTCTGGAGATCAACTTTCTGCACCAATCACTGAAGTTGTTCCAGAAGAGGCTGTGGTGTCTCTGAGGAGCTCATGGCCTGGGCACACTGTCAAGTGTCTGTGGTAGTGAGCCCTTGTAGATTGCCAACTCATTCCCCAGGGCACAGAGTCTAAGCCCCAGCCTGCTTCTTCACCAGGGCCCCTGATGGTGGGGATGGGCTTGCAGAAAGCTGGAACCAGGTCGCGTCCCTTTGGTACGCCCAGCTGAGGATGAGAGTTATTCACCCTGAGGTCATCACAGAGGACAAGGGGGGCACTCTTTATGTCTGGAGGACAAGAGATTTAATCTCCGAATACGGAAAGATTTTGTCATGTACCTGATTGGAGACTGAAATGACGAGGTCGGCCTCACTTGTGTCACTAGCCCTGACCCCCACTGGAAGTGGAACAGAGGGTATCTAGGGACCAGGGGGACAAGAGCGCCACCAGATGTTGTTTGCAGCTCTTGCAGTTGGAGTCTTTGGAAGACTGATGAACCTCCAATTCAGGCACAGTAGCGAAATGCATAGCTGGTATGGTAGGTCGGCAGGTGTGCACCAGAGCAAGGCAGGAAGCAGGGAAGGGAGACAGGAGCAGTGTCAAAGGAATAGCCAGGGTCATCAACGGGCGGACAGCGAGGCACCAAATAATAAGCAAGCCAAAGTCAGGAGCAGAGCCGAATTCAGGAACCAGTATAAATCAAGCAGGAGAGTAATCAGAGTAAGGTCAGGAACAAGCTGGGTCAGCAACAAGGAAATCAGACAGGGAACAGCTGAAGACCAGTCAGCACTCAGCACAGGCAGAGGTACCTTTTTAAATAGTCTGTCTGGCGCCAATCTTCGCCCTGCATGTGCGTGATCGTGCATTTCTGTGCGCATGCGCGCGTCTATTCGCCAGCCGTCTCACGGGAATTCCCTTACAGATTTCTTCAAAGTAAGAGCTGTGAAAATGTGGAATAGATTTCTTCAAGAGTTGGTTCTGGTCAGCTCAATAGATTGCTTTTAAAAAGGTCTGGATTCTTTCCTAGATATACAGAATATAACTGGATATTAACATTTATAGATAAAGTTGATCCAGGGAATATTTGATTGCCACTCCCGAGATCAGGAAGGAATTTTTTTTCCCCTGCAGGAGCAATTTGGACCATGCTTTGCAAGGTTTTTTTTTGCCTTCCTCTGGATCCACCGTGGGTATAGGTTGATAACTTTTTTTTTTTTTTTGTTCCTGGTTGAACTAGATGGACTTTTTGTCTTTTTTCAGACGGAATATTTATGTAACTATGAACTGACATTTTCAGTATTGCATGTGATATGTGGTCACCTAACCGACATAACGCATGCGATAACCTTTAGTGAATTGTCCCCAGTATATGCAAAAATTTATGAAAAAAACACATTTTATTTAATTTCTTCATTTTTCAAAAAATTGTAACACAAAATTACAACTTCAAAAAACTCACTATGCCTCTTACTAAATACAGTACCTTGGACTGCTTGCTTTCCAAAAAGGGGTCATTTGGGAGGTATTTGTACTGTCCTGGCATTGTAGGGCCTCAAGAAAAGAGATAGACAGTCGGTACATCAGGACTGATCAATTTTCAAATATTTATACCATAGTTTGTAAACTCTGTGACTTTTACACAGATTAAATACTGTACTATACTGTACTGATTTGGGGTATTTTTACCAATGAAATGTAGAATAACACATTATGGTCCAGATTAATGAAGAAAGATTATTTGCTTGCAAAATTTTTTTAACAGAAACATATATTTCAAAATTTTCTGTATTTTTTTTTTTTCCTTTTTATAGAGCAAAAAAAAACCCAGTGGTGATTAATTACCATCAAAGAGAGCTCTGTCTAAAAATGATTTTTAAAAATTAATTTGGGTACAGTGTTGCATTACTTAGTAATTGTTATTCAAAATATGACAGCACTGAAATCTAAAAATTGGCCAGGGCAAGAAGGGGGTGAAGGTGTCCCATATTGATACTGCTAAATTAGTAGAATAAGGGTTTTTTTTTTCCATCTGTGTCCCATTGGGGAGATTTACCTTCCTTTCCTGACCTACAGCCAAAACAGGAATTGAGAGGAAATCACTCTCAAGTAAGGGGATCCCTCCTTTTCACCAGAACTAGTATCCCTATTGGAAGATTTCCCCTCCATTCCTGTTCTGGTGACAACCCAATATTTGGGATTTCTTTTCACTTTGGTGATAATAGTCACTAGGACAAATAGAGGGGGTTACTCTCCCTAACAGGGGCACAGACAGCAATAAAAACTGACAGCTGTTCTAATCCCTCTCCACTCTATCCAAAACACAAAAAATGTACATTGGGGAACTGGAGAAAGTACAGAGAAGGGGAACCAAACTGATAAGAGGCATGGAGGAGCTCAGCTATGAGGAAAGATTAGAGGAACTGAATTTATTCTCTTGAGAAGAGGAGATTAAGGGGGATATGATCAACATGTATAAATATATCAGTGGTTCATATAGTGAACTCGGTGCAGAGTTATTCACCTTGAGGTTATTACAGAGGACAAGGGGGCACTCTTTATGTTGGAAGGAAATAAGATTTAATCTCCAAACACGGAAAGGTTTCTTCACAGTAAGAGCTGTGAAAATGTGGAATAGACTCCCTCAAGAGTTGGTTCTGGCCAGCTCAGTGGATTGCTTTAAAAAAGGTCTGGATTCTTTCCTAGATATACATAATATAACTGGATACTAACATTTATAGGTAAAGTTGATCCAGGGAATATCCGATTGCCTCTCGGGGGACCAGGAAGGCATTTGTTTCCCCTGCAGGAGCAAACTATCATTCTTTGCTGGGTTTTTTTGCCTTCCTCTGGATCAACTGTGGGGTGTAGGATTATAACTTTTTTTTTTTTTCTATGGTTGAACTGGATGGACTTTTGTCTTTTTTTTTTTTTTTTTTTAGCCAGACTAACTATGTAATTGCGCGGTAGTGTAGTGTTGTACCCAAACTAAATTTTGATCATTTTGTTCACATAACTAGAGCTTTCTTTTGGTGGTATTTAATCACCACTAGGGTTTTATTTTTGCTAAATTAATTAAAAAAGACTGAAAATCTTAAAAAAAACACATTTTTCTTTGTTTTTGTTATAAAATTTTGCAGATAAATAAATGTTCTTCATAAATGTAGGCCAAGATGTATTCTGCTACATTTCTTTGGTGAAAATAACCCAAATCAGTATTTATTATTTAATCTGTAGGAAAGGTAGAGTTCACAAACTATGGTATACAGTATATCTGAAAATTGATCAATCCTGAAGTACTGACGACCAATTTAATTTTCAGATATTCCCCAAATGACCGCTTTTTGCAAAGTAGACAGTCCAAGGTATTTAGTAAGACGCATGGCGAGACTTTTTTAAGTTGTAATTTTTTTTTGTCAAAATTGTTTGGAAAATGGTTTTTTGAGTGCAGTACACCATCATCATATAACTGGTGTGGCGGTGATCAGAGAAAGTGACTGGTATGAAGAGAAAAAAATTTTTTTTAAAGAGATTATTATACTACTCTGGTCACAGTGTATTATGAAAAAATTGTACTTCTTTGGGGAAGTGATCAATATTTTTATTTTTTTTAACACATTATGTTTGCCTTTAGCAAAGAATTTCTTTGCTATAAGCAAGCATTTCACTGAATAAAATCGATTAATTCAGGTTTTTTTTTGTTTATGATTAGCTGTAATTGGCCACGGCTAATCACATGACACAGGTGGGCTGTGATTGGCTCAGACTGTACATGTGATCACTGTGACCAATTAGAGCTAGTGACACAATTGTATACAATGGATGGCATGAAAGGAAGCCATCCATTGTTTACAATTGTCATGTGACCTGCTGTGATTGGTCAGAGCAGGTCACATAGTACTGGCAACAGGCCAGTACACAGATCTGTCATCGGCTGTGTCCAAAGTACACAGCCGGTGACCGGATCCATTAGGTACTTCAAGGACATCTGATCTAGCAAAACACCTAATGCAGCAAAAATTAGTAAGCACCAGGCTAATATCATTTGATGATCGCCCTGAGAACTATTGGGCATGGAAGACCTCTTTCCAAGGCATCATCAGAGATCTCAGGCTTACAGCTAGAAAAGAGCTAGGTCTGCTAACAAAGTGGCTCAGGCCAGAGTCATCTTGACAGGCCAAGAGAATCAGGTCTGTGCACATTCATGATCCAGCTGCTGGGGTTAAAATGGTATGGCAGAGATTAGAGAACTCTTAAGGCAGCCCTGAAGCTATTGAGAATGCTCTATTGAAGAAAATGGAAGACTTCCTTAAAATCTCTAACAAAGACAACGTGAAGTTAAGAGAATTTGGTAACATGTTGTCGGAGGTCAGCTCAGCCAAGACTGAAGGATACCTAGACACAGCACATGGGTTTAAACCAGGGCTCAAAATTTCAAGTCCTGAGCTACTAGCCAGGCCTTAAGAGTTACACACCACCAGTTGTCCTACCCGCCCCCAATTCCGCCACTATACACGCCCTCCAAAATTATCTCATGAAATTACACTGTTAAATGTTGCCCACATTTCATCAGGGTCCCCAGAGACTCCCCGCATTACATCACGGTCACCAGAGTCCTCGCCTGCATTACATCAGGGTCCCTAAAGTTCCCCCAAATTACATCAGGGTCCCCAGATTCCCCCCACATTACATCAGAGTCCCCCCGCATTACATCAAGGTCCCCAATATCCCCCTAAAAACTCCATCATACTTAGACAATGCACCACATACAACCATAACCCCACATAATCTCTCACTCACCAAACCATAACTCCACCAACCATATCCTACCTTCTATCCAACCCAGCAGTACCTCAAATGTTCCAAACTATGCCACCCGTAATAACCACATAATCCTGAACCTGTCAAAACCACTCATATGCTTACACACAGACATACAGATACTGTACATGTACATACACACAGACACATGTACACACACATATACACACATGTACACACACATACAGACACACGTACATACACACACACACATGCAGATACATGTACAAACACACATTCAGACACATGTACACACACAAACACACATACAAACACATGTATACAGCCCTATAAAAACTTGCAGCACATTACCATCAAAGTAGAGAGCACAGCAGACACTCCCCCTCCATTTGCTTTCACTTTGCTCAGTGTATCCAGCAGTCTGACAGCTGCCAGTACCGATGTACAGGCGGCCCTGTGGGGCAAACTCACCCCCACGTTATTTCCACTCACCATATGCGAGCAGGCAAGTGGAAATTTTGAGGCCTGGTTTAAACCAATAATTGAAAAGCTCCCATACAGTCTACAAGATAAATGGATCATCTCAACTCCTTCCCACCATTTAGTTTCTTCACCATGTTTATCATCAACCAGGGGTGGACTGACAACTCATGGGGCCCCCGGGCAATAGGGGATCATGGAGCCCCTGTGTCCTTGCCCAAACTCAAAAAAGCCTATGAAAAAGGTACCAGGGGCATCTCATGGGGCCCCCTACTGACCCCGAGCCCTCGGGCAGTGCCCGAGTTTCCAAATGGTCAGTCCGCCCCTGTCGTCAACCAAGCAAAGACTAGAAATGACCCAAGCTTTATATTCTCGAAGTGCTGTAACCAGATGTCAGCAAACACAAGGAATATAGGAGCAAAGCATGGCAACAGCCCATCGGTGGTAGTTAGACAATGGTGTCAGTCGCTGATGCAGCTTTACATCTTAACAGCTCTGAAAAGAAGTCCATGGACCCAGAGCATTCATGCCCAATGCATTCGATGAATGTAAAGCTTACTTGAAAGAAAATGCTAATTACTTCAGATGTTGGGCATACACCAAACACATTGCTAAAGACTGCAAGGTCAATATAAGATGCAGAGTGCAGTAGTGATCAGCATACCTCAGCACTGCATCCGGGCCCAGCCCCTTGGGCAACCAAGACTCAGGTAACCAACAAAGAGTAAGGTGGGGAGGAAGATGAACCTACCTCATCAACTGCAGAAGGACAAGGACCATATCATGCTCCAAGATTTGTTTAGTGACTGTATACCTCTCTAACAAACTTGACTTTTCTGTGAAATATATGTGTAAATGTAATGCAGTGTTAGATGATCAAAGTAAATGCTCATTAGCCAAGTCAGAGTTCTTTAATGTGTTTAACATTAGTGGTAGAAACAATTGAGTACTGTCCGTGATACGTTTTTTTATTTGCACTAACAAACAATTTTGAGGACAAGCTTTCGGGGAGTGTCCCCTTCTTCAGGTCAAAGCAGTACTGATCACAAAGGTATAGCAGAATGTAAGAAGAGATGTAGGGGATGTAAATTTCAAATCCATTCAGGAAAGAAACTTTTGAACTAAGAAGGATAATTCTATTTGACACAAGAGATAACGGCCTGAATTTGGATATGGGATTCCTCAATCATTATCCAACAGTTTTTATCACCTCAAGCATGACTGCCTCTGTGAGTGTTGTTTACCCTCCCCCCCCCCCCCCCCCCCCCCAGACTTTGCTTTTGCTGTATCTCTTATCTCTGTTCTCTTCCTTTTTTTTTTTTTTTTTTTTTTTTTTTTTTTTACATCCCCCTACATCTCTTCTTACATTCTGCTATACCTTTGTGATCAGTACTGCTTTGACCTCAAGAAGGGGACACTCCCCTAAAGCTTGTCCTCAAAATTGTTTGAAAATACACACTGAAAACATGTTCAGGTATTAAGGGAAAAACTAGGAGTAGGACATGTAACTTCATTGTCCAGTCTGTTAATGGGAAAACACACATAAAACCTCACACTCTCATTGAATGTGACATGATGCCTGATGACAGGTTAGATTACACAGAATTTATCTCTTTCTCATTTGAATTCCTTAACAGATAAGATTTCTGCAATTGACCCTAATTCCCAAATACTCCTCATGCTAGAAAGAGAGGTACACAAGGTGAATGAGAAGATTAACAGACCCCATAACACTCCTTATATACAACGTTTAGATCTAGGTTGGGTCATAGTTGTAGAAGTATGCTTAAGTGGGGCTCACATACCAGCAGATATGAACTAATTTAAGACAAACATGCTCCCTAATGGACGCCCTTCTCTATTCCGTCCATACACAAACTATATGCAAATAAAGGAGACCTTTAATGCTTGCAAACTACAGCCATGCACTTTCTGATTATGTCTTTGCCACTTCAAAGGGATCATAGCTCACAGCATGGACAGTTTAGGTGAGGAGGAGTTCAGTAGAACTCTAAATGATGAAAGACCTGCTATGTACAGTATGTTGAAGATCATATGTTCCTTAATGTAGTTGAAAAGGAGATGTTTGTGGATGAAGCAAACCTACCATTTTGCTCACCACACCTTAGACTGCCAAACATCAGGGAGCAAGCACAGAAGAGACTCCTTTTTCTACAGTACTCCTTTGCAAGAAACCTGAAATGAAAGAACATTTTGTTAACTTTATGCAAAAGATCTTTGACCATGACCAAGCAGAACCTGCTCCAGTACTGAAACTGGGTGAACAGAGCTGGTACCTACCAATCTTTGGCATCTATCACCCTCAAAAAACAGAGCAGATCAGAGTAGTTTGTGATTCTAGTGCTCAGTATGCCGCCATTTCATGGAATGACGTACTTCTTAGTGACCCTTATTTGAATAGCACGCTGGTAGGTATCCTTGTACGTTTCCACAAAGAGCAAGTTGCAATTAATAATGATGTGCAGCAATTGTTTTACTGTTTCGTGGTTAGAGAACATCACCAACTACTTGATACTTGAGGTTCCTTTGGTTTCAAAATAATGACCTCAACAAAGAAATTACAGAGTTCAGGATGAAACTACATGTCTTTGGAAATAGTTATTCGCCATCCATAGCCATTTCTGGTCTAGGACAAATAGCTAAGCAGGGAGCAAGTGAGCATGGAGAAAACAGTTCATCTTAAGAAATTTCTACATAGATGATAGACTTAAATCTGTGCCTGCAGAAGCCGAAATGATCGGTCTCCTGCAGAGAGCTAGGGATATGCTTGCAGGATCTAATCTTATGCTGCACAAGGTGGAGTCCAATAGAAGCTCGGTAATGGAATCATTTCCTGCAGATGACAGAGCTAAAGAGTTAAAAGACCTTATTCTAGGTGTTGATCCTGTGCCCCTTCAATGGAGTTAAGGAGTATGTTGAAATCTCCAGACCAACAGTTTTACCTTTCAAGTATCAAAGAGAGGTGAACCCACACACACAGAGAGGTATCCTAACCACAGTAAACCGTCTTTATGATCCACTCGGGTTTGCAGCCCCGACAGCTATGTAAGGCAAGACCTTAGTTAGAGAACTCTCAATAGATCAATGTGACTGGGACTTCCCACTATTGCCAGAAAGAGAAACTCGTGGAGAACATGGGCAGAAGACTTGATTCATCTTCAAGATCCCAGTATTTCCAGACCCTATGTGCCAGTGTCACTAACATATACAGTGCAAAGATAAGTATGTGTCTTTTCTAATACCTCTACTGTGCAAAAGCAGCTGTAGCATATCTCAAGGTCATAGATAGTAATGGGCAGTGTCATGTATGCTTTATAATTGGTAAATCTAAACTAGCTCCAAGACCAGCACACAGTGCCACATTCAGAGTTGTGTTGAGCTGGCAATATGGGCCTACAATTCATTTTACCTTCAGATTATAGAGAATTCCAGTATGATTCTAAATTTTCAGAACATTGCTTGATTGTTTTTCTGAGAACAGGGGTCAGAAAAGGATATCATAAACCAGTTCTGGAATTCTCTAGCCACCTGGTAGTGTAATCTGTCATGTTAAATAGCCCTAAAGGGGTATGTCACAAATAATTCTGTGGGGGAATGCCACTTCAAAGGGTTCAGTTGAGGTGGGAATGGAAATGGAACTTACTAGCTGGTGACCTACAGCAGACCAGTGCTTTGAAACTGTGACCATAGTGCCACCCATTGACTGAAAATGACAAAGTCTTAAGATATGTGAAAGGGAGCATATCTACTCAAGTGGGTGGGTATAGAGCTGGCATAAAAAGCAAGGCACAGACCCCCCTCTCTCTCTTCGCTGGCTGCACAATGGAAAGGTAAGGATGTAACTCCACTATTTTTTTTTTGTCTGTAACTTTCTTTTCCTGTAAGTGCCTCTATGTATTGGTACCATTCAGTACTTTAATATGTAAACATCATTGCTTTTAAAGTTATATCAGCTATTTTATATTTTGTTATATTTCGGTAAATAGCAAACTTCTGGAAGCAGAAAGTTAAGAAAAATAATACCCTGCACTTGGGAGATGTGCATCGACTGTGAAAAACTAAGTATTGAAATGAAAGGTGGGACGTATGTGTTTAATACACCCTCCCACAAATGGGAGGAGCTTTGATAAAAGATCATGTAACCCTATTCAGGTACTATTTAAAGATTTGTTATGCAGTATCCAAAAACTGGCTTTGATGAAAAGTGCATCACACCTCGAAACATGTCAGCATTTTTTGGATTATCTTCACGTACTTGGGATCTGTCCAAGAGACCAGACGTTCTCATGTTCATTATAGAGTTTGATATGCCTTTTTTCATTTGTGTTGTTTGTGAGTATACATCTACTCTTTTTAACATTAGTACTGCATTAGGTTGGTGCACCCTCTGTTTCTTGTTAATAGCAAACTTCTATTCTGTGTAAATAAATTTGATTTTCATTTTATTCCAGTATAAGAAAAAAGTGTTCACTTATTATATTTATCAGCAAGCGAATGAGGTGATAAAAATTGCCAAAACAAACATGTCCCTTGTGTGAGGAAAGTCTGAACGTTTGGGTGAATATTAGTTCTTGTGTGGAAAATAGAGCATTATTTTTATCTCTTTGTTTTCATGTCTGTCTCCCCTTTCTGTCAGTTTTAAATACCTAAACTAGTATGCTTTTTCAAACTTCCCTTTTTTTACCTTTTGTCTATATTAATACTTTGGTGAGACTGATTGTGAACAGTATGATTATGTACCACTACCCCCTTAGGGATTGCTGATGAATTGGGTCCTTCTATAGTCTTTCACAGCCAGTCATTCAGAATTTTCCATGTAAGCTTGCCTTCAGAGACAGAAACCAGTCCTTGAGCTTTGGTTTTGTTATTTATTGAGGGGATTAGAACCTGGATAGCGTAAGGGGGATGCCCAAGGGAACCGATAACTGAGGACAAACCTGAAACTATTCATAAGCTTCTCTTCTCTGATGTAGTCTCTGCTGGAGTGCTAGTCAGCATCTTCTATTTGTACAACCCCAGACCTTAGATGAACTCCTCTTCACCCAGGCGGTGCAGGTGTACTCACTCAGATCCTCTCCTGTACCTCTTACGGGATGGTTGCTGCTACTAGGCCCATCAGCTGGGCTGCTCCTTTCCTGCCATACAGGTGGTCCTCTCTCAGGGGGATAGTGAGGCATGAGCTTTCCTCCTTTCCATCTCCAAGCTTGCAGGCAGGCCCCATCTAACTAGGCCTCCTGGCAGCCTTCCTCCTACAGCTTCACATCTTCCTCCAACTCTCTACACCTCTCCCACTACCACACTCTCCTCCAACTG